ACAAGTTTAAAATTGGTCCCAATAATGGAAAATCAGTTTCTACACAAAAACATGTTTATGTGTCGACCTGAAATTTATATGTGTCGACACATAAAATCAGTATTTCGGAAATTTCTTAAATGCTTTAGTATGTGTCGACACATACGTTTTATGCGCCGACACATGTGATTTAATATTAAAGCCTTCGGCATTTCTGCTTTAAAACACATGCACATGTCCCGACACATACAATTTTCACATTGACACGTGTACTGCATTTTTAAAAGCTTGTAGCTACTGTTTTGCATGTGTTGACACATAATTTTTCAGGTCAACACATATTGTTTCGTGGGTCATTTTTGCATATTTTTTTCATTCTGAAACTTCACTCTTTGGCCTAAAAAGTTCCTAACTGTAAATATATCATTCATACATCATTCCAACTTGATGATACCATAAAAATATCTTGAATTTACTCTTCATCTTCAACCTCCAACCTATGCATACACACTAACAAACCATTGTAATGATGTTTTGTTGGGGTGCCATCTAGACGAGGTTTGATAACATCCTATTAGGTTCTTGTGTAGTCGGGAATATTGGGTTGATATTTACAGGGGTCTTCATTTGGAAAAACTGCGGGTTTGTCCTCCAAGATCATTGGTTGATTTGGGGATTTTCGTGCAAGACGTTTAAGAGAGGATTGCGGCCTAGTGAAAGCCTTTAAAGATAAAGAACACAAAGGACCTTTTGTATATAAAGAATGCAAAAGAAGTAGCGTGAGAATAATGAATCAAATTGAAGTATTGTTTTGCAATAGGTACAATTGATGATGCACGAAAGCTTTGGATATAAAGTACGAAAAAGAGTAGTAAGATCTAGATAATTAATTGATAGCTATTGTGTCTTGGTCTTGTTGAATATAAAAAGAAGAGAAGAGGTTGAATAAACATCAAACGGTTATGATTTGTAGGGTTGCTCTTAAACACTTCTCTTGTAATCATACTTTTTGCAAATTAAGAAAGTATCCTAATTCCACGAAATTGGGCGTAGACGTACCCACATGTGAGGATAAACGTGGGCAACTTTGTAAACAAATCTGTGTGTCGCTCTTTATTATCTCTTTACTCGCTTTTGTTTTCATTACGTAATTTGTCGAATAACATTGTTAAATCGATTGACTCATAATAATTTTTCTGCAATTGTTTTGTTTAAAGTGGTATGTTGATTAACTTATAATAACTTTCATTATAAGTGGTTTTCATATCAACACAACTCAAAGAAAAATTCTGAAAATTCGAACGCACACCAAGTGTTTGACAAAGTGCAATGTTCTATCTCTTACTCTCATTTACTTTCTATATGCAATTTGTTGAATATGGTGTTTTATCAATTGATTTATATAGAATTTCTCTTTGATTTTTAAAGTTTAAATTGCTTTGTTAATTAATTTATAATCACTTTGATTGTAAGTACTTTTTCATATCAACAAAGCTCAAAGAAAATTCTGAAAAATTTATTGTGCGCTACATGTTCGATAAATTGTCAAGTTATGTTTTTAATATGATTTCATTAGAAATAGGAAACTGTTGTGTTTGATATTGAACTATTAATTGAGATATTATTATGTTGATTGATGTTATCATTATCTTAATTCCTTATGGCTTGTGTATATCCGAGTTTCCAATAACTAGGTTCGTTTAGACTACTATTTTGATCTAGGCCAAAAACCTTCCGCTCAATATTGTTTTTCAAATAATTTTTTAAGTAACCATTTTGAAAGGTAATTTTTAATTAGGGATCCATTCACCCCTTCTAGATAAGTTGACATAGTCTAACACTTATGTGTCGACCCGAATAAAACACAATTTTCTGGTTTTGAAAATTTACAGCACGTGTCAACCCGTGGCTCGTATGTGTCGACCTATAAAAGTATTTTTACTTCTATGTGTCGACCTGTAACACATATGTGTCGATACATACTGAGCAAAATATGATATTTCAAAATTGGTTTATCATGTGTCGACATGAAATACACATGTATCAACCTATAGAGAAAATTTATAGTATATGTGTCGACCTAAAAATGTATGTGTCGACACATACTATACATTGGCTTTTATGTGTCAACATGAAAGCATTATGTGTTGACACATATTGAACATAAGCTTTTATGTGTCAACCTGAAAACCTTACGGGTTGACACATAGACTAGTTTTTCATATGAAAAATTGATTTTTAACATGTAAAATATCTCTAATATGATTTTAAGTTTTGTAATATGAAAATGCACATCTAGATTATAGACTAATCTCCAATGTACAAATACTAAGTCCTACTTTTGACATCATTCAAAACATCTAAAGGATAGTGCACTCATAACATGTCTGTCTGAAATCAAATAGAGATTTGCTTATGGAGAAAAATGTGTTCCGAGATCCTTGAGAAAGAAAATCCAACCAAAAGCAGTCTCACCTTCAACCAGAGTGAATGCAATGGGAAAGACATTATTGTTGTCGTCTTGTGCAACTTCTATAAGTAAGGTGCCCTTGTATTTCCCGTATAACCATGTTCCATCAATTTGTATAATAGGTTTGCATAATGCAAAATCTTTAATGCATGGTTGAAACTCCCAAAAGAGTCGGTGAAATATTCTATTTCCACCAACACAAGTTCCAGTCTTACTAGGTTGATGTTAAATTTATACTAGCTTTATAAGAAAGATTACGACTAAAGACACACACTTTCTTCTTTCCAAGCGGTGAATGTACTGTTATGTTAGAAGATATGTACATTTTATTAGGACTGGATATTAATGGTAAGGTGGTCAATGGAATAACCAACTTCGCAAATACAATTTGCGCTGAACTATTGGGTGTCGACTTGTTAGATCATAACCCAAGAGGCTAAGATATATTACTTTTACATGAAAATTCTACCGAACAAGACCGAATAATAAAAACTAGGTGTTATAATATGCTTTTAATTGGTTTATTATTATTTCCTGAAGGTAGTGGTTTTAGTATGCATGTTATGTATTTACCCTTATTAAGAAACATATATAAAACAAGAACATATAGTTAGGGGTCCGCTTGTTTGGCTTATCTATATAGTTCGTTGTATAAAAATGCATCCAAAGACACATCTATATTTTCTGGATGCGTTGTTTTTCTCCAAGCAGGGGGTTGGTCCAGACTGCCGTCCCTAGCGCCCATCAATCGCAACCCATTCTCATTCCCTTACGCACAAAAGTACGTTAACAATATTAATTCTATTTACTTACTTTACCAATTATTATTTCTAAATAAATTATTTTAATTTTTTTGGTTTAGATGGTCGACTCGTGATATGACTTACAACATATGTCGTAGACATTGTATCACTCAATATCACAATCTCCTGGATCAACTTAGACCAAAAGATGTATTGCCACTAACAAATCAATTCATAATCATTTATTTTTAATATTAACCAGTTTATAATCTAATCTATTTTTCCTCTTAAATTCATTTGCCCCATATCTAAACTTAGAACATGAACATGAAATCAGAGGAGAAGATGCAGTTGTTTGGACTGCATGCATATTGATCATCAAGTTCACCACTGTGGAGATGCACTATAGTGATCGTGTGAAACTGCAGTTTGACATATGCTTCAAAACATCCCAGACCCCCTATGGACCTCAGGAAATGACATCTACGAAGAGTTAACAACTAGTGGAACTTTGTCCCTTGGCAGGACTTCGCAAGATCTTTGTATCGTAAATGGAAGCATTGTCATGACTCGTGACCATGTCTTATGTGACCCTGTGATGCCATCAGAAGAAAGACCAACTTGTACTTATATGTCTTGGTACAAATCAGTTGGATTTGGGTTTATCTTTAAAGATATGTATCTATACCATCCACGCCAAGTCACTTACATACAAGAAGCTTCAATATCTAACCCCCCATAAAGTTACAGACCCATTACTCACGACCCCCTACCCAAAAAAGTTACCGACCAGCAAACAGACAAACATATGACCCGAACATGCCAGACACACAACCACAATACCAAAAGCACATCACCTACCATCGACAACAAGATAATCATTATCAAGACAACCAACATCCATATGCCCCCAATACATCGTCATGTCGTAGCCTTCATAACCAAAATACCCAACGATCATGTAACACCAACACTTTCTCATACCATAGCCAAGAATTGTAAACGTCACAAAACCAAAACATACAATATGGCTATCAAACACCACAAAAACCATTTCAACCTTTCCCAAACGAATCGTCCACACCAATTTCGTCCTTCAATCGTCTAGACCGCACACCCATAACCCGAACACACCCCAACTACTCTAGCATGGGTCACAAATTCAATTACGGCAACACATCATTCCATACACAAGATTTCATAGAAATGCAAGAACTTATTAGAGAATCTGTTGATTGTGTTGTTCCTGAGACCTCAAATCCTCAAACACCTGGGATGAATCAACAACGTGAGCTAAGGCCACGAGTTAGGATACATGGGGTGAATCAAAAGTGTGGCATCCTGGAAAAAATCTGTTTTTTTTTTTTGTTTTTGTGTGTAAACATATCTCGAATTTAATATTAATATTTTCTATTTTGACTTTAATACAAACTATCAATCATGACTAAATTAAAAATCACAACCCACACTAGTGTCAAGTCAATTATCGCCTCCTTTTAAAAAATACATATAGACGCCAATTAACTTGACAACACCAAATGCAACTCTCAATTCAATTGACGTCTACTCTTTAACTTTAAGTGCAGAAGCCAATTGACCTAAATACATATGAGCTTTGTTGCTTTTTTTTTTTTTGTTTTTGAAAAGTGGAGTATATTGAAAAATTATTTGAAAGGTGGGTTATTTTGAGAATTTTTAGAAAAACTTATATGGGTAAAAAAATTCAAAAAGCGGATATAATTTGTTCCAATTGACTTCAACCGTCGATACCCTTCCTTTCATACTCGTTATTCCGTGGGAAGAAGACGATGGGAGCAGAAAGTGAAAAGAAGGAAAATCACGAAAAAGAGACGCCAATCGCTTCTCCAACTACTCTCACACAAGATCAGTTCCTCTCATGGAAGCGACACAAGGTCTCTTCCCCTTTCCCTTTCTCTTAATTAGGTTTCTTTGTTTTTCTTCAATTGCATCTGCAATTGATGGCTTTACCATGATTTAAGATTAACAGTACAATTTCATAGTATTTGGAATTTTGTGTTTTTCTACAATAATTTATTGAATTCTTGTTATAATTTTATTTTATAAATATTTAAAATTATGATTGTTATGAGGGTTATAATTAGGGAAAAGTAGATTTTTATCTGTTATAGGGTAGTTTTTGAAGGTTAACGACTTTGGTAACTACTTTGTATTGTTGTTTCAATGCTAAAATGCAATTAGGGAGGATGGTTTAGTATTTTGGTGTTGAGCATTTTTTTGAACAAGAATTTTTCAGAAAAACTATATATGTAGTTTAGAGTTTAAGGGACACAGTTATGCTGATATCTAATGAACATTCATTAATTTTGCCACTTAATATCATTAATATCATTAATAGTGTTGGGCGTGTGTTAAGAGTTAGGTCCATCAGACAATATTTGGTCGGAACATATGTTTATAAATGACGGAAATTTCTCACTTTACAAATAGGTTTTGTAAGGTTGAGTTAGAAACAATCACAGTGCTACGAAAAACTTAAAAAGTCTAATATTACAAGTGTAAAATCAAAATATTTTTGAAGTGAAAAAACCAGCACTCACACAAGTGGTAGGGGGCAATAGCACCTTTTAACCCTTAATTTTAATTGAAAAGACCGACAAGTCAAAGGTGATTTACATGGAGAGTGCATCCCCTTAACTCTCTACACATTGTAGTTTATGCAATGGGTTTTATTCTTCAGTTTCCCTTTCATTTCTAATTTTTAATAAGCTTCATTTGGCAGTTGATATTTTCACTACACACTAAATAAACAAATCAGTGCTCCTGATCGCTACCTGGAATATTTGAATAGCTCTCAAATATGCTAGAATCAATCTTCCTTCTTTGACATTTTATTTATTCAATAGCTTCATTCATTGAGTTATTAAATGGCCTAGTCAGTAACTGCTAGGGATAGTATTGCAAGTTGCTTTGGAGGGTACTTGCAAGGAACCGGATTGGAATAAGGAGGATGCATCCTATCTATTTACACTATTATTGTTGAGTCCTAATGATATGGTCTATAAAAGTGCATATACGAGAGACATTGATCAATCTTTCTCCTTAAAAACTTGCTCTATGGGATTGAATTATTTTAAATCCAAATATTAAGATGGCATCACATTCTTTTTAGGATCTATTGGATCATCAATGGATCACACGAGTCCCACTCCAAATCTCCATACATTTTGACCATACTGTACAAGTTGATTTTGTAAAGTTGAGTTAATCGCAACCTATATTTTAGAACAATACACTTTGGATTATAAATCTGTTGGGCCATCGTTATTGAGTCCCTCTCCAAATGTCCAATCATCTCTCACTATCATATAAGTCAATTTAGAAGAGTTGAGTTCTCCCCAATCTAAATTCTGAAAAAAATTACACTTGGGGCTAAGGTTACATCGCATCTCAGGTCTCAGATTTCTTCATTGGGCCATGGTGCTATATCATCTTGTAGGATCAGTGTTTTGAAGTCTTAAAAATTACAGCCCTGATAACATCTTAACTGGGATTACCTTGATCTACGATAAATTTTAATACCCTCATTAATTACTTTCAATTATGAAATCATATCCAATGTTGTTTTGCTAAAAAGGTCACAAGAAAATCAAACAGAACATGACATAGCTCAAAAAGATGAGACTCTAGTCTTTTGGGGAAACTTTGTCCATTATAGACCAATGTTATTTAATATCGGTCATGGTGGCACCATTGCGAATATCAGTGGTGGTTTTTGGGCTTGCCGCAATGGTACATATCAGTCGATATTGTGAGTTTTTCTGCCATAATCCGCTATTATGGTGCCATAAAGCGGCCAGTATGGTTGGATTTTTGCTCTCTGCCATGGACAACACCGTTAAAGAGTACTTTAACAATGTGTGGTGCATTTAAAGAAAGCAACTTGTAAGATCATAGAACAAGTTTTCTATTCAAAATGATGAAGAGATGACTTGGTTGAACAGGTTGAACTGTTGAAGCACTTTTAAGATAATTGTTTGTGAGAAATTTCGCTTTATTGCAGGGAATTGCCAATTTAAGCCTTTCTCTAAATTACTTGTATCTGGACTGCTTTCTGCAGGATGCTGCTGAGTCAGCCAGAAAAGCTGAAGCCTCCAGGAAGCGGGCAGAGGATATTGCTGCTGGAACCGTCCAAATGAACGGCCGGGAGCTGTTTCTGCATGAACCATGGGTGTTTGATGACTCACGTTTTTGAGGTTTCTTTTGGTTGGCTTAAAGAGTTCTTCATGGTCATTGTCATGTTCATTCTTGTAATGAGGTAGGGTTCATCAACGAGTTATCATTATATCGGTGACGTACACACTTCCTTTATCAAACCTTTTTTATGTACCAATAGATTTTTGGAAATATGAAGTCTGTCGCTTTGGCAAAGAAACCATATTGAAAAAAAAAAGTTTCTACATAAGAACTTGGTGGATATTTCTCACATAAAAAACCGAGGTGTGACTGGTTGGACTGTTGCAGTTTATTATCTATCTTACAATGAATTTGATCTCTGATATTAACATTTCCATATAGTTAACGTTTGACAGTTTTAATATCTTCCTTACTTAACTTTTACTTGCAAAGCTGCTTGATTAAGCTTGACCACTTGCTTATTTCTTGAGATTCATGAAACTAAGAATCATTTGTCTCTATATTATAACTTTAGAATTTGGGAGACTTATTCTTCGGAATAGGTTTGCAGGTGACAAGTGTTTACTTAAAAGATTATTGAAGCCCTTGATCTTAGCTGTATATTCTTCTAATCGGCATTAGAATGCACTGTCATATACACTTATCAGCATTGTTGACTTAGCAAACATTTTTAATGCTTAGTTATAATATAGTGAAGATTCAATCTGATAAGCTAAAGGACTAAATTACTAGTTGTGTCAATCGGCAATACAGTGAACCTTATTCAAAGATTGTTTTGGAATTTTGGTTTATATTTTTCATTTTTAACATACCCCTTAATAATTACTAATATCTTATAATATGATAATGAAATTAGTTTGTAGTTTGTTCCGAGTCCCATGTTACTTAGATTTCTGGACTGAATGTATAAATGTGTGACGACAATCTCATCATTTAAGCTAATTTTAGGATAAATTAAAATTATATAACATTATATCATATTCCCTGACATTTATTTATATCAAGGTGGGAGGGCAACACTACTATCTGAACGAACTTTTATGATGGAATTTATACCCATTTAACAAGTTGATTTACATTCATGTGATGGTTATAATAATTTGAGATGATAGTACAATTGAACACAAATATGTTGGTGTTATGCTGTGTTTGACGTTGACACAAGTCAAACAAAATATATATTTAATGTGAAGTGTTCACATGATGTTATTATAATGAGAGTGAGATAAATACGCCATCCGTAATATTTATTATTATTTTTTATTAATATACTCTTATTTATTATATATTTTTGTACAATTATTTATTGTATTTAATGAATTAATAAATATATTTTAATAAATAAAATAAAATAAAATAATTATAATTAACATAACTAATTATTATCTTAAAAAAATGAAAAAACTCAAAGGAAAATCTATTATGAGACGGAGGGAAGTATAATTTAACATCATGATTAATGAGATCCTAACTTCTTCCCTTAAGTTACTTTACTTTTTCTAATAAACCTCTCTTGAATACATATGATTATATCATGTATGGGTACATATGATTATGTTGTATGATATGATTATGTTGGCTTGATATAAATGGTCAACTTTGTTGACTTGAACACATATGATCATTCCCTATTGCTTGGGACAAATGATCATTTCTTTTAACAGATTATGCTGGCTTGATATAAATGGTCAACTTTGTTGACTTACACAAATGATCATTCCTATTATTTGGGACAAATGATCATTCCTTTTAGCAGAGTATAAATGATCATTTGATCAATCTTGTTGACGCTGGTACAAATAATTATTATTTTTATATGGGGTGCAAATAATTATTTAGACTTGAGGTATAGGAGGTCAAACTTGTTGACTCTAGCACATATGATCAATTCTTCAGCACATGATTAGGACTCTATTTTCTATAAATGATTGTAAATTATTTTACACATGAAAAAAAATCAAATTAGAGTATTAATTGTAAAAATGACAAACGAGCATGTTCGTCTGATTTAAATTCACCTCACAAAAGTCTACATAAAATGGATCATTAAAGACATAATAGAGGTTGTAACTTGGAAACCTTGACTCGTCTTGCAAAAAAATAAGATAGGACAGATTGAACTCAACATGCCTTGCACTATAAAATCTAAAAGTAAAAAAAAAAAACCAAAAAAAAACCTTATTCGTCCGGTTAATGCCTACACCCACAGAGCCAAAAAAACTAGGCAGGATGCGGTAAACCGAGTAAAAAGTTCTAAAATCTTGGCTCAATTAAAAAAAAAAAAGTTAAAACAAACATGTCTGTCGAATGGGTCCGTTTTACTACTCATAATTAATTGTTCTTAATTAAACTATTATCATAAAAACTCTGAATAAAAGATATTGTTACTAAAATTATATTTTGCTCAACAATCTCATTCTTTTTGTTGATGTTAAACATATGTAGTTTTATAAATAATGTGATAATAAATAACTTGCGGGTAAGTGAGGTTTGTACTCTTTCCCAAAATGTAAGCCAAGTTAAAGTAAAATAATTTGATTAACTTGTAGTGTGTGATAAAATCTGTATCTTAGATTCATAATATTTAGCCAAACATGTTTAAAATATTTAGGTTTAAATACAATTTTAGTCTATTTATTTATTTATTTATTTTAATTTTTAGTCTCTAATTTTAAAATCTCAGCTTTTTTATTATCCTATTAAATTTTACTGGGTATTTTGATCCTATCTTCTTTCGTGTATGTGGCATCAGAAAATGTAGACGTGACTGAGTAGGTGGCATTATATTATTAAATGAAATTAGCCAAATTAAAAAAAAAAATCATATATTAATTATGGAATAATCTTTTAATTAATTAAATATTAAAAACAATTATTTAAAACAATTAGTTCCCAAATGAAATCAAAGTATCAGAACCCTACTTTCACCTCCTTTTGCGTTCTTCATTTTCATCTCCATTTATAGAAATCGGTTTTCATCTCATTCCATGTTTTTCATTGTGTTCCTCTACTTCCTCTATTGTTCCAAAGCTTATTTGTTTGTTAGCCTGTTCGCTGACCATAATTCATAATTGATGCTTGTTCATAACCGAAATCTACTATTGAAGTGAAGAAATCAATAAGGTCAAGTAAGATGGATAGTCATCCCAGTTATGAAAAAATAAAGAAGAAATGAAATTTTGGCTGAAGGATGTAAAATCCTTTTTTTTTCTTCTTTTGAATTTAGAATTTAGTGAAATTGTGAAATTTAATGTTTTTTTTTTATTTTATGGTTTTAAGGTTTATTGAAATTGAGAAACTTAATCTTTTTGTTTTTTCTGGGTTTAGTGAAGTTGTGAAGGTTGGCAACATGTGTTTTCTTATTGTGTATTTTAATTTGTTTTTCCGACCATCTCAGAATTAAATCATTAGGTTAAGAATTTATCATTAGGGACAATTAGTAGTCAAATCTGTCAAATGGTACATTAATGGAAAAGTCTCTGATATGAATTGGAAGTCGGATGCAGACTATATGTCATATTTGTAGCTAAAAGGTTTGATAAGAAATCATAAGAAATCAGGGATATATGAATATCTAAGTGTATGAACCCTAGTTTTAGCTTTTCTCGTGGCCGTAAACCCCTTAATTGTAATGTTGGTGTTCTTAAATTTGTTGAGGATGTTAGTGGATTTGAATTGGTAGATTTGTATGTAGAGAATTCCGTTGGTAATTCTGAAGTGGTAAATGATGCAAAATTAGTACATGAGTATGATGAGTAAGTACATATTAATGATGAATGTGTGGAACCTTGTTTTGCAGGTAATAGATTTTCTTTTGATGATGATAACTATGAAGAACATAATAGATATTCAGCATGATAAAGATCCAATATGATGACAACTGTAAAAGATAACATTCAACATAGTAAAGATGCAACCATTAAGAAAGTCAACCAATGTACTTAAGTAGTTAAAGATACAAGCCATGGGGTTTGATATGGATTTGATAAAGTTTCAGACATCGATAAAATTTCAGACAAAAGAAAACAAATGTATTACATCAAAAGCCTCAAAAGAAATCTCAAGCAAGTGTCAACACAAAAGAATCTATCAGGCGAGGCTTAGAGGAGTTAATCTCTCAATTTAGTAAGTGAGTGAAACTTTTGTAAAAGCAAAAGTTATTTCTTTGTAGAAGTACATGGCTATAAGCGCGCGTGCGCGCGCGCACACAGCACACACACACACACTTAAAACCTTTTTTTATAAAATATCTTTGAAAAGAATAAGCCTTGAGAAGTATAAAGAAGTTGCATAGAAAAGGATGAGAGCATCCAAAAAGCAAAAAAATATTTTTTGACTGAATCTAATCGATTAGAACATAGTGTTAATCGATTAGATTATCACTCTCTTGAGGAATATGGTAGTTTGAACGCACTCAGATCATATGCAACAATTATATATCACTTCTTTCATATTTTAGAACTCATAGCCGTTACATTTAAATGAATTAATCGATTGGTC